AGTATTAAGAATAAAAACTACTGCAATAAGTTCAAGCTGTTTACAGCTTCTTACTGAGTTGTCTCTTATTTGTTTTACCCCCTCCCACACAGAAAAAAATACAAACTTATAATAGTGTATGGCAAAACCTGTATATTTAAGCGGACCCCATATTAAAAGTTACATCCTATGTTAAGCAGATGAATAGCTCAGTATGTTTGAAAAGTTTCTAACCATATTTTCAAGAAAAAAACAGTGTTTTCAAAAATAAATGTATCCATACCCATTTTAAGGGGTATTTTCTTTTTGGTAAAAGGTTTCAACCAATCATTAGAGCTGCAAACGTTATAGCCAACTGAAGAAAACTTTACATTGATTTTATGTTCCAGACGTAATGCATGGGATATCTGTTTTATTCAGACTCTTATAGTGCTACTACGATCAAATTTGGGAATTTGTTTTTTATTACATATTTCGAAAATGTATGTAAAAGTGACTTACCGTGCCAAGTTTGGAGTCCAAATATGATCTGGAAGTGTGTTTATTTGCACGGCAATTTTCGTAAATGTCTTGCCGCCATTACTCGATTCAAAAAATGACCGGGAGTAGTATTTGAAGGAGTTGGGGCGAGATGTGACGTAGAAAAATCAACGCGACAAAACAAGGTAAACAAACGAGGCTAATTTCGCATGCAGGACGAGATATTTTTGGAAGCTTTTGGAGGTTCTTTCTTCGCTTTTTTGACTTAAAGCGAAAGTATGCCTGGTAGACGTTGTGTTTTTCAGGACTGTGGAAACGTAAAGAACGATGAATTCTCCTGATTCGGGCAGCGTTAGATTAAAGTGGAAAAGGTTCGTGTCCATTCATCGGAAGGATTTCAGCACAGTGGGAAAATTTGCTGTGTGCTCGGAGCATTTTACAAGGGATTGTTTTACGCTTGCTTTTCCGATGAAAGGCATGAAAAGGAATTTGAAGAAGGGGACGTTTCCAACCATTTGGAAAAAATCCTCTCAAACACTATCAAAGCGGAGTCGACGATCGGTGAGTGAAATTACAATGTATTTGCGCTGTGCTTATCACCATTATATTTATTTCCCCATTTACCTGTGACATGATTTTTTCTGGCATCGTTGTTCAATATTCGTGTAATGAATGCTCTGACTATTTGGACTTCCCATATTGTTGCATGTGTTTTCATACTTTTCTGCTTTCTTCTCATAGTTATAGTAAAACGAGCATTTGCGCTGAGTGGACGTGAAGTCAATTCCCCAATTCCCAGACCTTTCCACTCAAGCGTAAAATTTAGAAAAAGTGAAGCTACATAGAAATCCGGCTCTCTATTTTTTGAGAGATTATCTTGCTGTTACTTTGAGATTTGACAGTACTCCAAACTTCCCTCCAAGAAATCTTACAGCAAATTAGGAGTTACACGCGAGTCTTTTAAAACGATCAAAAATGGACTTAGTCTGATTGCTACATTCTATAAGTTCAGTTACTGTTTGCGAGTTTTTTTTTCGTTTGTATTTTAATTCTATTTTCACTGTCTGCACGTGATGCATACATTTTAAGGCAAAGATGCGGTTAAACCTTGCTTCCATTTCTACTTTTGAAAACATCGACATAAAGCTCAAATTTAAACTTGTTTTCAGTGAAGGGGAAATATAACAAATGGTCGTACCTATTTTCATTTTTAGCTACTAAATGAAATTCTGGCTGGTCAAACTACTAATGAGGATACAGAGGAAGACGACAATCCTGAAGAAGAGGTGATCTCTTTGAAAGGAAGTTCTGCACCTAAGGAGAGTGCTGACACTATGGGGGCTCCCAATCTCAACCCTGAGGAGTCTCCAGAAGTCGAGGGTGTTCTGAACACAAGTCAGGGTTCTTTGCTTGAGGTAAATCCTGAAAAGGAGGGCTGCATCCCTGAGTCTGAGACGGGTGAGACAAGTGTTGATGCTGAGATGGCTTCAGAGGTCCTAGGTACTCCTGGTGATAAGACAACTCTCGAGAGCCAAGGGATTTCCGGCACTGATGAGATTACTGAGACCATGCAGATCCTGGAGGCTCAGGGAATCGAAAAACTGCAGGATATGGATGAAGTTATGCAGATTGATGAATCATTAACGATTCCTGAACTTGAACAGGTTTCTATGGTAGGCGCATAACTCTAATTAATGTTTATTTGCATCTTTGTATTATCATAACAATGGAAAACTACATGTGCAGTTATTTTACAACAATACTAAAACTCAAAAATTCTGAAGTCTTGTTATTACAGCCTGTATTAATGTCGAAAGTTTGTTTTTTGTAGGATATTCCAACTGGACATGCTGGGAGCTGCACAACATGCAAAACCCTGAGGAATGAGGTGACGCAGTTAAGGGGCAAAGTCACAAGACTGAAGAGTAGTTAATCTCCAATCAAGATCAGTGGGTTGAAACCTTTAAGAGCATACAAGAGCCGAAGCAGTTGCTGATGGTGAATGCTGGTGAGTCAACAATAATTATTGATGTTGATGAGTCATATAGGCATAACTGCCTATCTTTATATTTTTATTACATTTTATCAATATTTGATTATTTAATAATAATTAAAATTTTAATGGTAATAGAATTTTTTTAATTCCATTTGTTTAAGCTATTCAAACTGATCCATGGCCAGTAACAAATGAGACAGAGTTAGGGCTAGAGGATGAATCAGAAGATGAGCAGGAAATGCAGGACGAGGCGTATGAGGAGTTTGAGTGTGATGAAGACCCTAAATGGAGTCCTGAAGAAATCGAAGATGCATATAAAAAACTAAAGGAAGATGATGACTCGGTGAAGACTCATCAGAACCCAAGGTACAAAGATGCAAAATTTATTGCATTTTAACATCGTAGCTCTAAGTATCCTCTGGGAAGTGATTTAGGCCTAAAACTAACTTCCATTATGAGAGGATCTATTTAGAAACAAGAGTACATGGAACTTGTTTTTTAATTTACTCAGATAAGAATTGCCAAAAAAAAAAAAAAAAAAAAAAAAGAAGAGGCATAGCCAGCCCATAGACTGGAAGTCCCAGGCCTAAAAATGTTTGGTTTGTCCACTCAGCCACTTGTAATAAATTATGCATTGTTGGGGTGGGCTAGATAGCTTAAGGGCTCAAAGTTGTCATGTGTGCAATCAACAGAATTATTATAAAAAAGCATTTTTCAGGATGTATGTGAGAATAAAATCCCAACCCACGATTAGCCAGGTTTACAACAAGTTGAAAAACTGGCAACACCCTGAGAAAAACAATAAAAATGATAATCATTTTTTTTATTGTTATTTTATTATTTCAGAGGCTATGATTAAATGAGTATTTCCTTTCAATCATTTTTTACAGGTTGGATCTACAAGGAAAAAACATTCGAGAGAAATCGAAGGGAATTGTTTTCCTTTCCAAACTTCTTCTTTTGTTTCACTTCTGCCACTTGTGCTTCTTTTCAAAACCCAAACTTTCTGTATCACATACTGGTACCTTGTTTACCGTAGAAAGTTTCTGCAGAAACTGTAGCTAGACAAAAGTCTGGAAGAGTCAACCAGACCTGCTAGGAAAGTTTCCAGCAGGTAACCTGCTATTAAGTTTTGCAGTGCTCTGTGAGCCGAGTGAAAAGAAAGAAACAATACATTAAAACTGTAATTAAATTCAGGCTGAATTCGATTTAATTTTTATTACTTGTGTACATGAAAATTGGAGCAACATCAGAATTCCCAGCCACTAAACTTGAGTTTAACTGAACGCTAGAAGAACAGGGCTTCACACAGTGGGCAAGTTTGTCATTCAACAAAAAGCGAGTACGTGGCTGAGAATTCTGAAGTTTGGCCCATAAAATTAAGTGTTTACGGACAAGTATTCACGCAACTACTGTAGGTCCTTCTTGGCCCCAATGGCATACATGACACTCTTCAAGAACAAACAGTGCATTTATTATTCATTTTCTTCATCTTCGAATCCACGATAATGGCCATTTTGACTCGGAAATTGTTTCCTGATTTTATTGTAGGCACAACAGGGCAAGGGGTATCGCCTGGAACTACCAATATAACTCCACAGCAGTCTTGTAAATTGGCGATAGGCCACAGACCTCAGGAATCTAGTTAGAGAAATGAGATCACTGTTAATTCAAGGAGGGATTGGATGGAGATAAATAAATACTCCTTTTAAAAATAAGCAGTTGAGGCAATAAAGCCATTTAGAAAATAAAAAATGTGATTCTATGAGATCAGTCCACGGCGATAAGCTTAGATGAATCAATTATTCAATGCTATGTACGGTTCGATCGTTCCGATACAAAGTCAACAATACCCCAACTTACTCATTATCACTTTTGTTGCTTTGCCCACGAACAGTTGTGTACGACTTTCCAGCTCGCGTTTTTAGGCCCAGTGCAGCCACTTCTAATACGTGGCGGTTTAAGCAGACGCTTTCAAACCCTGGATGGAGGGTTATGCATAAGGTCCAGTCTCCAATGGCTTCTTCCATGACCTCTTCGCAGCGATCGATCTCTTTGCAGCAAATGCACTCCTGCGCTTTTGTAACAAGGCTGACAGAGCAGTTCGAGCACGAACACCTGCAAAATAATGTGCAAAATTCGTCAAACACAAGAAAAATACGTCTGTATAAAATTATTAATTGTCTGACCTCTTCAAATTCAATAAAACTATCGCATAAAATCAGGACTACAGTTAATCACATAGCAACGATTTAACGACGGGTGTGTTGAAATTGGAAAATAAAAATATAAATCTACATTCCATGATAATACCATACCATTCATTCGCTGGCACCTCTCCCGAATATCTTCGCTGAAACTGTTGTTTCTCTTCTTCTTCGCGATGAACTCTTTCGTTGTAGTCCGCGGCTTCTTCCTCGGTAGCAAGGGGTTCGCAACTGTCGTCGTACGGCGCAAATTCAGACAATTCCTCCATCACTTCGTCAACTGTAAGACTTTCTAGATCACTTTCAGATGTCAGGAAGAGGAATCCGACGGAGATGACATCTTCAACGTCTTGTTAAAAGGCTCTAAACTCACAAACTTTTCCCAAATGCGAATCTTTTGGTTGATGTTTCTACGTCACAGTGCATAAATCACGTGGTCAAACGTACGACCGCTTTGCGGAGATCTCGCGGGCTATTGCTTTGCGAACTTTGTAATGGCGGACAGTATTAGCGCACTTTTCAGTTTTTCGCTATTTGTATAATTTTGAACATATACAAAAGATTTATGTTAAAAAAACTCGGAAACAAAAACAAAAATTTTCGTCGTAGTAGCACTATAAGATTTTGTTATAAGGATTCATATACATGCTGCTTTGCAAATTTTTCTTGAATTTTGCTGCCTAAACCAATCAGAGGTATAATACAGACAATAGTAAAGTGAGAACCTTTTTGCATTTCAACATGTTTAAACATTGACTTTATTGATATTAATGTTGCATTTCTGATGCTCTTAAAGCGGAGTCTGCAGGCAGAGCAAGTTTGTGTGATCTTTTGCTTTTAATCCACCATGACACCCAAATCTTTCTCTTAAAATAGTCTAATAAATTCACATGTTGCTGGCCTGCACATTATGATTGATCAGGCCTCATGCAACCACTAAGACATCACAGGAAACTGAGGCTGTTATTATCAGTTAAGCTGATCAGTATTTGAGAATATGACCTTCATTGAGGAAGGGTTTAAGTTAAAAATGGCAGTATCACATTAAAATAAAACCTTTGGTCACACCTTGACCTCTTAATTAGGTCAAGTTTCTTTCATTGGTGAGTTAATCAATTTATGCACCTGCATGCCAGGATTGCATTGAGAGAAACATTCTGGAGCAATAAAACATAGTGTGTGACTGAATCAATTGCATCTATTCATGCCATGGCTTGAAAGAGGCAATGTAGAGGAAAGCATCTAGAAGGAGACAAATTAATATTAATGTAGTGTGTACAATAACATGTGTAGGTTGAGTTTGATCATCCAGGTGAACGTAGTCCTGAATAGGACTGTTGTTGACAGTGACTACGTTCACGCGGACGATCAAACTCAACATACTTTTGAAATGACCCCTGGGTTCAAACCTTTCACAATAATGTGTGTGTCACTCAGTTGGTCACACTCTTCCCTGTATTCCTCAAATTTCAAATCCCAAATGTATTGGCAGCCACACAGTTTAAAAGAAGTATAAAAAATAATAAATAAATAAATAAGTGCTCCCTTGCCCCAAAATATAGAACTTGCACTGTTTGTCAAACTTGTACATTATTTTCCCCAGTATCAATTCCATGGCAAGGTCATGCAGAGATCTTAAAAGAGAATTCATGATTGCTAGTATTCTTGTTCCTTCAATTCAACCTGTCAGAAAACAACAGAAAAGTTGGCAGACATTGAAAGACATATAGATTGCAAGCAGTCTCTCTTTTGCTTGAAAATGTGTAAGCGAGAGTATTTGAGTAGCGTATTTGAATTTGCGCCCTCGCAACTCACACAACTTTGCTGCTCAAATACTCTCGCTTACAGATTTTCAAGCTGAAGAGAGACTGCTCACAGTCTAAAAGACACACAACATAAAAATGATGTACCAGTTTTATGAAACCTTTACATGTTGTATTTTATGTTATATCTTCAGGGAGGGAGCCAGCCTGGCATAAGGACTCAGTTCTTCTCTCTTTGCACCCTCACTCATCCTTCTTTTTACCACCTATTTTTTATGTATACAAGGTTGTTATAAATAAAAAAAAAACCTGTATAATTTTTAGAATTAGGGGGACATCCACACAAACTTTGCTCCTTTCTGCTAATTAGAGATATCCACTAAATACTGGTTTGTTTTTCTTAAATTGTGGAAAGAAATGTTTTGCCACATTTTGAGCTATTCGACTGCTGAATACAGGGTGTCTGCTTAATATGGGGTCTGCATACCATACAATGTAGAAAATGAGTTAATTAGGCTTTCACTGAGGAGGGGAGGTACAAGAAATAAGACATAATCATAAACAAGAAGCTATACACAGCTTGAACTTATTGCAGTAGTTTATATTCTTAACACTTTTGAGTGCTTTCTATAGAGAAAAAAAGAAAAGACTACATTCAGCAGCCGACACCTAACACCATGAGTGCTTACTAAAGTAGACAAAACTTGCTGGATCAATAAGTGGCAAACACAACATCAAAAGGTCCTTTGCATCCAAACCCCTACATTTATTATGCATGCAGCAAGCATATATTATTTAACACACATAACAAATGTTTGGGGTTGTATGGAAATCTTACCTATAGATTGTGGTGCAGGATCTGTAAAGGTTAATTATTACAGGTGTATGGGGAAAATATGAGGCTTGGTAAAGCAAACTTCAGATGAGATTATCATACTGTCGTATTTATTTCAACACCGTTTACAACATGAAAAACACAAATAACCTTACACAAATAAAGTTTTTACAATCAAAAATCGGTTTCAGGATACACACTCAGTGATAGTGTTTTAACCTCGCGAGTAAATAATTCGTGAGCTCCTTGTTTTGCTAATTTTTTTCAGAGTAAGAACCTTTCAGAAAATACTTCAAAGTTTCAATATTTTTTGCTCGATGGAATGTTGACCATTACAGTTTAATCGACTAGAAGGGGTGGGTGAACTCAACATTTCCTTTAAAGACAAATTTTCCCCCGAAATCAAATTCAACTGACTTATGAGAAAAAAAAATGAAAGCAAATGTTAACGAAAGCTCGAGATTTCAATTAAACAGGACAGAGAAGACTACAGAGAAACGGCTCCTTACGTACCTCAAGCAACCGGGCCACCATTGTCTGCACTTACAAAGAACAGCACAAATTAGCTGCACAAAAACCCTTTTTCCTCTAACTTGGCGAGTCGACGAATGAAAACAAAGCTCTACTTTTCTTCTTAGGCTTGAAAGTACAATTTAAACTTCTGGCGATTCCATATAACCCATACAGGCTATTGTTTCCGATTTGATTTGAAATGTTGGAAAATTCTGTAAAGATGAAACCTATTGTTTACCGATTTCCACGCATGATTTGATCCGTCAATCAAATTGAGCTTTTTGGTTTCTTTACTGATTTAGGAACATTAACCTCCGCTTCTATTAACCTCGTGTTCAATAAAGAATTGCTAATTGTCCAATGTGAAGTGCGGAACAAAATATCAGTCAAGCAGGCAAAGGTGTGTTCCACAAGATTCCCGGTCATGTCCGTGACAAAAGTACTGGAAACCTTTATACGTTCTTTTCCTTCCTCTTTCAAGAGAAAATACGTCCACATGGTTGCTTGTACGGTCGTCTTTGTAGGACCCGCGCATTTTGTCTTCAACGCTTATCCGGGCCGCAATGCTACTTGTCCTCTTTCCAGCTGTTCAAACAAAAACGATGGTCACGCGGTCGCTTTTACCGATTTCTACCGTTGCTTGTAAAGGACCCTTTTGTGTAGAAGTTTTAAGCAGTTTCTATGGTAGGTTCTTTGTTGAAGAAGGCCAATTTATCAACTTCACATCGTCCTACCACTTGTGCCGCCATTTTTTTTATTTGTTGACGCTGCCTCGCTTTGGCGCCCTGAAATCGTGAAAGCGAGTTTTCCGGAAGTGAACCAGTTTACCGGAAACTGTTTTCGCATGGTCCGCATAGTTCTAAAAATAACGTTTTGGGGATTAAGATATCCCGGCCAACGCCCTGAGTGTCCCTCTCTGTCCTATTATGGCTCTTGATTCTGTTTATTAACCCAGAGCTCCTCTGCGCATGACGGCCAGGAATCAGAAGCGTAAGCAGTGGCCGGGGTCGAGAATGGTTTAAAACAAATATGGCGGCTTCCCGTGCAAGTTTGCATGCTCCTTCCTCCTTGGTTTGCAGTGCTGCAGAGTCCGATAATTCATCAGAAGACGAACTACCTTTTGACGAAAATATATTCCACTAGCTGGCTATAAAGAATAAGATGAAGAGGAAGACGAGGAAGCGATCGGCGATGTTGAGTCAGTGTCATCGCAATCGTGTTGTATACGACCAAGGATAGAATTAAAGGTGGCTTTTGATACACGAAACGTTTTCTTGAACCTCTGATCAGTGTATGTGTTCCATACTTCTTCGAACCATCCCTTGTTACGGGGAAGCCGTCGACATGATCGATCAGCAGTGGTTTTCTCGGAAGAAATAAGAAGAGCAGAAAGAAAAAAAACTTCTAATAATAACATTGGCCAGACAGTCGAAAGGAAAAGGATTTTCTGCTGCATTTCTTTTCTTCTCCTCCTCGAGTTTTGTAAGAGTTTTACGAGTAGCAATTTACGCTGGCGGTTACGGTGCGGCGCCATTTTCGTCACCGCTTACCGCTGTACTGACTACTGTGCGAACCCTGAATTAAGTTCGACTCTGGCACGACGTCTGAATTTAAGTCGTGCTTGTGCCGTGCTTCTGTCGAGCCCAATAATAGGGAGTTTTAGCATCGACGACGGCAACGGCAGCGAAAACGTCAGTTTTAAAATGAATTCCCGTTTTTTCAATCTTTGTCGCGTTTATTCCAATGGCTGAAAATGGCAAATGTAGGCGAATTTCCCTGGAGTCGATTTCTTGAGGACCGCACTCAAGTTTAGAGAGAGAAAAAGAGATTCCTCGTCGCTTGTTTACGTCCTCCATAAAACTTGCAATTAGGCATTTTTACGTCGTAGTCGTGCAAGGACGGTAAAGAAATGTACAAAAAGGCGTGACGCACGTGCAAAGTTGTTTTTTTTGCGTAATAAACCTATTGCTTTTTTGACGTCCTGGTTGCCGTCGCCGTCGTCGTTGCTAAAGCTCCCTATTAATTAGGTTCGGCACGGCAGAAGCAGACGTATGAACTGGGCCCAAAATAAAGCTTCACACACAACCGATTCTTTTTTACTTCAGGTTATTTTCCCACGCAACAAAATTAAGATTGATTGACATGTGTCGCCTTTCTCAAAGCTCAAGAAACCGCAAAACCGCAAGTCAGCTAAGTCGGTCATAAGGATGGTTTTCAAGTCGCTTGA